TGTGAAAAAACATCAACAGGCTCATGTTCTGATTCTGGTGAAAATTAAATTTGGCACAGGCAGAAACTATCCGAGAGAAAAAGGCTATGTAAAAATTTTTGCTTGGTTTAAAAAACCAAACCAAAACCCCCACCTTTAATGTGGACCACTAGTGCTACAAAAATGAACTCGGCTAAACTTGGGCTGAGGAGGGCAGAAGAGAATAATGATTTTTAAAAGTCTGGAAACTCTACATAGAACAAATCAAAACCTACAAGATCAAGTAAAACTCCGAGCAGTGTACCTGCAGTTACAATTCCTGCCATCAAATTTCCATCTTGAGCCACTGCAGAATTACCCTCAACTCAGCTCAGTCAGTATAAATAAGCAAGCTATCTGAAACCATGATTTAAATTTCCCCAACTTTGTGTTTTGTACAACTATAGGTAACTTGGGCAAGACTCCTCCAAGTTTTTACATTAAATGTTCCAAGAGAAGAGGGGACAATAGGCAAGGAATATTTTCTGGGCTTCTATATGTATAGATACTTTATGTATGCTGAGCTGGGGTAGAGGCTGGATGACACTGAAAGTCTCTTCAGAAATGCCTAGTGCCTAAAGGGATGAGATGAGGTAGGTGTGACAGGTAAAACAGTAGCTCTGCTGGGTGCCTGTGTACAGGATCTGCTGACCCAGTTTTAAAGCTGAATGTGTATCTTTACGTAGGTCAGGGGAAGGGAGATCAAAACAAGACTCCCCAAAACCTTGCTCAGAAATTAAATGAAAAATTCTCCTACCTAGTGTACCCAATTATATTTATCACCAGTTGTATTTTATTGGGTTTATAGTATTTTTATCATTTTTAAAGTGTATTAGTATAGTACTGGAGGCATTTAACAGGGACCCTAAGACAGGGTAGCATTATGTTAGAGACTGTACAAATACAAACGTTTTTTGCTTCAACTTCAATCTACTGTTGCTTATACAAAATAAAAACAAAGGGGAGGAAGAGAAAACCAGGAGTAGCAGTATAACAATCACACCGTAAGTGAGCAGCATGGTCTGACTTTGATGTTGCTTATACTGAAATAAATCTGGAACTGGGTCCGCATCAGCCAAAAGTTCTACAACAGAATAAAAGCTGCATCAATCACAAGAAAAGCAAAGTAAATTCTGAGACTTCTGGGGATTAAAGAAAAGCCACAAATGCATTTTACATCAGAAAAAAAGACAAGTAAAAAAATTACACAGGGTGGAGAAATAAGATGTTGACACTTGTCTAGGAAGCCTTTGATAGCATTTATAGAACACCAGTGCCCTTTCTGTGAAGTGAACATAGATGGGCCCAGAAGGGACTTCGTATAAGCGAAAATAGTTGGAAATTTGGAAAACAATTTTTTTGGTGAAGAAGCAGCTTCTTCAAAATACATCAAGATGGGAAGAAAAGGAAAAAATGAATACATTAGCATGAGAATATACAACATAAATGCTAATAGTGGGCCACTAAAGACACAGCTCTGAGGGTTATGCTCTCCCCATTCTCCTCCCTATACTTCCCACATGGAGTTCCCCAGCAAGCCTTCCCACAGGTCTGACTCCTGCTGGAGGGGCAGGAAGACCTTACCTGGAAGGACACACATGAGGGGAAGCCCAGAAAGAGCTCCCAGGCCTCACGTTCCTTCCTCCCAGGCTACCAGTGCCCATGTCAGACAGCATTTTGCCTACAAGCACCTTCCCATTAGAAGTCTGGGGAAAACAATTCATTGTAGGTGGCCCCTGCAGCCAAGAACTGGGTATTGTCTGTGTGGCTGCAGGAGAAAACTCATCCTTAGACTGGTTTATCATTTCCCAGGGTGACACAGCATCACCTGAGCCACAAAGGAGTCAAACTGTGTTTCAGCTGCTGATGGGCAAAGATGTTACTTGGTGGACTAACTAAAAGCCTGGATGGGATGCAAGGCACCTCCTCTTGTTTGGGTTTTTTCCCCTTTCCATTAGGTGACAATATAATGAGTCTGTATAAAACAACTAGGAGCAAGCACAGTCAGCAAGATGAAGCTGGAATAGTGGGACTCTATGAACAAGATGTTTTAAGTTGATTGATTTTCCTCCCTGTGTTGTCCTGTGATAAATGAATACATGGCCAATGGAAAGTGCAAGATAGGTATATGGGCAATTCTAAAATTTTAACATCCTTCTTGTACTGTCTGATTTCAATGGCAGAGAGGAAAAATTAATTCCTCTTTTGTATGCTGCTGAAGTTGGAACCACCAGATTAGGCATATTGTTTCTGTCATCTTATTTTATTGTGCTGTAGCTAGAAGAAGAAATCAATAAATAGACACTAAAGAGGTGCTTCTCCAGAGAAAGAGAATCAACCTGTTATTGACGCACCTATGGTTATATTTTGAAGAGAAAAATATTAAGATGAGTTTCAAGACTCCAATATCTTGATTGAACACAAAGCCTTAGCAGCCTATGTAAGAGCCATCACAGTGGCAGAAAGACAACAGGAAACAGCTTTCCCTGGGCAGAGGTCACTGCTAGAATATAGTGTTTCACAGCTAAGGACTCGCTATGCATTTGAAAGGAATACAGAATTTGCATTGTGTTTTCACCTCTAAATACTGTAACCACAGCAATAAACAAATGGATGTGGGAATGTGCATATGCATATTTGCATATCTGATTTCAGTAATATAAACACTTATCCAAAGTTAGATGCTCTGTCACTTGAAACCTTTTGCATATGAATCTTCCTAGTGGGAAACTATTCATCAATGTCCACATCCACAGTGGACAGACCCTTAGACGTGATGAGTAATGCAAGAGCTCACTCACACTGTGCAAGTTCCAGTACAGTGTGTTATGTACCATGTAACATTCCTTAGTCTTTCTGCAGGGCAATGATTTCATCTGCAGTACATCTGCTCTCTCTCTGCTGGAATAACTCACCTCATTTATTCAGAGAATATTTTCTAACAACAGAGCTGCTCTCACGTCTCAATTTAACAAGGACAAATAGCCCTTTGAAAAACAAGTGTCTGGGCAAAACTCCTCTAATAATTGCAAATGTTACCCTGTAACTTAAAGGAAAGATCTTTACTGAACAAGGCTGTTTCCCCTCATACACCAAGAAGGCTTTTTGTTACTTTTCCTGCTACTCAAATAAGCTCACGTTTTGTATTCATTGTATTTCAACTACAGAATTACTAGAATCTGTAGCATTTGCTTCCTATATTTTTTTTTTCCATCAGTATAACCTATTAAACCAAAAGCATTAAAATCCTTAGGCCAAACTTGATTTTCTGATGCACTCAAGTTTTATCTTAATATAGCATTCAACTTTACTTTTTCTCTACAGATGTGAACAGTAAACTGGCTTACAGTTAATTCTGTAATTCCTCAGAATCAGATGAATCAAATCACTGCTTACTGATTTAACAGATAAGGGGTTTATTTGATTTTGAAAATGTTACTTGTTATAGCTAGGCACGTTTTTTATCTGCATCCATCAGTATTTTTAAAGTGAAAAATACGTGATGGAAAAGTCAACTTTAATACACATAAAGAACTGTATCATCTGCCACTTTTATGTCTAATTCCTCATTATGCACAGCACTGAAATTGCAGGTAAATCAGTATTTCCAACTGCTCTTAAAAACAGTACTGCTTAGCTATCTGAAGGAAAGCCTGTTAAAAAGAAAACACACTGAAGAGAGTTGGATGTAGCCACCTGGCCTCAGCAAGTAGACTGAGACATCAATCTTCTATCAAAATTCATGTACATCCACAGTGGATGAGACTGGTGGGCACCAGAATGTGACCTTCTACCTGCCAGAGGCTTTAAAGTTGTTCTTTCCGACTGCACATCCTGCTCTGCAAGACAGAAGTTATCGAGTTATTCCACAGAGTGGTTGGTTTAATTTCTGTTCATTTTATCAGGCTTTCTGACACCCATTAATGAATACATCTTGCAATGAATAGGATTTTCAAATGCCTTTAGATTATATAAGCAGCATAAGACTTAAAATCCCACCTTGCCTAGATTTTTCTTTGTACAGGATCTGTTTAGTTATGATGCTTTAAAGAGAAAATGAAAGAGATGTTCCTTTCATAGGTTAAGTTCTGGTCCTCCATATGAAATTCTGAATAAAATCTGTTCCCAAGGGTTTTATAGCAAATGAGTTTATAGGAAACCCAAGGGGGTTATAGGAAAGCCCCTTCGAGAGACAGTTACTCATAACTTCCTTTCCCAAACACGGCAGTGCTAACAGACAACATTAACACAATTCAGAATTTCACATGCTGGTTGATGTATTAGCTGATGGTATTTGAATTGCTTTGAAATGCTGCCTGAGCCTACAGGTGTTGCCTTGAAGCATCAACAGCCACTTTGTCAGGTGGCAATAAATCCACTGCGGCTGTATTCAGGAATAGTTATCTCTTGCTGTTAAGGCTGCTCCATACTGTACTCCCTGCCTGAGACATTCTCATACAAAATACATTGAATCAATGCCTTTATCTCCCTCCTTCCTGGTATTTAAATAAGGCACTATTTCTCCATAATCTGCATCCTTCTGAGGTAAAAAGACAAACAGTCATGGAACCATTGCTTATTTCTTATAGCAGCACTGCTTTTTTCAAACATTATTTTCCACAATATGGGCAGGCTGTCATTTTCACAAGGAAATGGCACACTCCAAAGCCAAAACACAGGGGTGGCTTGCTCCATTTACCTGCCTCTTCATCCTTCTGTGAGTCCCCAGCATTTCTGGTATCAGTTTCCAATGATACGATCATATATGAGCTTATGAAACCAAAGGCTGAATGAATTTTAAGTCCTGAAAATCTAGGTTTCACTTGTTCTGCTCTCTAACTTGGTAACACTAAATATGATTTAGAGTTTAGCTTTATGTATTTTCAGTCATTTATTTCTTATTTTGACATTCCCGCCAGCCTGTAAGATTGATAATCAGGGTAACTAACATTGGTACAGCTCAACTGCACTCCTCTGCAAACTACTTAAATTCACACCCAATAAACTATAGCCTACAGCAAACCAGGACGTACTTCATTTGTAGCCAGAATTTCCCCAAAGATTTATCAGCAGTCTACGTTGTAAGCACACGTTCTAGAACCAGCAGAAAGTGCTGTTACTCTTTGTAGTACTGGAGGCTCAAAGAAACACCTGCCCACATAAACTGGAAAACAAAGAACTGGGGAAAAGCTGACCTTGTAGCAGAGAAAACGTTACTTGCCTTCCACCCAGTTTAGTGGTAGCACAGAACAGGTGAGGCAGTTCTGGAGACCACAACAAGGAGGAGATGAAAGTCAGGGTTGGCCATCCATGGCAAATGGGATGGAGTCCCCAGTCACACAGATGAACCAAGTTCTGCAGAGCACCCAGCAGCTCCTGGGGGTTCCATGTCCTGGGCTCAGGCCCAGCTTTGAAGTAGTACAGCTGGTAGCCTGGAAAGAAAGAAGAGACCTCACCAAGGGGTGCATTGCTTCCCAGTGAGCTGTTTTTAAGGCAAGGTTCTCACCTCAGTTCCTGCCTGAGGTGTGCTGCAGCTGCATCACAGCTACACCTGTGCCTGCCATGGACCCATTTATCTGAACCCAAACCTCACCCTGTGGATTGTGTCTGTCCCTGTGTGCCAGCAGGGATATAGCTGATGGGGACTCTGGGCAGACCCTGCCTGCCCTCCAACCTGTCCTGCTGGTCCCTTGAGGACACCCCCTGACTCCTGGTGCCCCAGTCCCCAAGGAACAGCCTTCCCCAGCAGGTGTGAAGAATGAGTGATGGGTGTAAAATGGAGAGGTGAAAATGGAAAAGAAGGTGCTGGCCCTAATCCCATCCAGACAGTGCTCCAAGAGGCAAAGAACAGAAGCAGCGAGGTGCTCAAGATGTGTAAGATCTGATCAAATCTCACCCACAGCTTTTCTAATCTGGAGTAAGCAGAGGGTTAATTCAATGTAGCCTTTAGCTGCTGACAATCAAGTCAGGCCTCAGGGGACGAAGTATGGTCACGCCATCCCTGCTTCTCCTTTGAGGTGGTGTGGTAACATGGAAGCACTATTCATCCTCGCAGAGGAGTATCAATATCCTGCATCACAAGGGATTCCCTCGATCTCTTCCTTTTATAAACCAGCTGGTGAGTGGAATGAAAATCTTCCTTTAGTTGTCTGGATGGAACGTTGAAAGGCAGGAATCTGCTCCTGGTGTGCAACAAACAGAGATAGATTATATCTTCAGCCTGTCTCAACAAATCTATGCCTGGTTTGCTTTAGGAGATTAGCAATTTCCCTGCTACCACCTTGAACTGTTTTGCTTGTCTCTGCTTCATGTGTCCATTTTCATGTGCTTTAGTGTAACACCAATCTCTGTCCTTTTTCTTTCAAAACAGATAAAATTGAAACCTGCCCCTTTAATTGTCAAGTCAGAGCTGGGTAATGCTGTTCTGCTCATTCTATGATAATCTCTTTAGGACAGATCTTTAGGACTTCACAAACAATTTAGTTAATCAGACTCCACTATGGCTGTGTCCAACCAGGTTTATTTGGTTGGTTTTACTTTTCAGATCAATCTATGTATAAACAAGCTCACGCATAAAGCAGTTTATTCCACTGAACCACCATGCAATGCTCAAGGCAGTGTCTGCCACCATTGAAGTTTCTTTTGGAGGTGCAGTCTGCTTGTGAAGCGTATTTGTAGGTGAAAACATGCCCCCTGCATTCTTAAGGAGGTTTTTGGCAAGGTCTTTTTGACACGAACGGCTTATGACCAGTTCTGCCTAATGCTAAACTCTCATACACAAAGACAAGAGGCTTTTTCCTCCTGCAGATGCCTGCCAGAGCCTGTGACCCTGCTGTGCCTACAGGCTTTTGCTTTTCAGTATTGACTGTGATGCTCAAGTGCTGCACTCCAGACTTCACACCTCTGCAGCAAGACAGCTTCCTTCCACAGCAGCAGCGAGATGAGGCAAACATTTCCCCTCTTCATCTTCACATCTTCTCGCCTTCAAGAATAAGACTCAAGTTTCGCCCATTTCCCTTCTGCCGACTGTGGCTTTTCTTCCCGAGCTCAGGCGGCTGTTGCGGCTGCAGCAGCGCCTGGTGCGCTTCACTCTCACTTAAAATTAACAAAGCACTTTCTATTTGCTTGGGAAGAGACAGCCCCGCTCGCTTTGTGCCGCAATGCTCCCCAGCAGCTCTGGGAAGGGTTGCTGCCTGCTGCACTGCTCAGGCTGTGCGTGGCTTGAAGCTGCCTACAAGGTTTATTCCTGTGTCTGGAAGCAGTCTCTCCCTGCGGTGTCCCAGTCACAATACGGGCTTTTTTAATAGGATCTCTGTCCCCCACCCCTACTCGCAAAATGGCTCTTCTGCCTTAGATCAGTCGTGAGCATTGCTCTCTCTCATATTGCTCTGCTTCCACTCAGTGCCATCTCTTAACATGTTTTTTCTCCTATCCCAGAGTTCAATCAAAGCCATGGAATAAAGCAGAAATCTGTCTCACTCAGCATGTGAGGTTTTAATTGATTTCTAACTATTTTTTCCCCAAAACCAAATTAATAAAACAACATTCTCAAGAACACGAGAAGTACTCTGGCCTTCAATAAAAGACAAGTACCAGGATGCAACAGCAAGTGCCCAAAATTAGGACCCAACAGCCTGACAATTGACTGTGTAACCTAGGCATAGCCAAAGACTTTCTCATCTAGAGCAGAAGCAAACTATGGGGCAACAGAACCGGTACTGGACAGGCAACCTTACCTTGATCTTCTGGATATAGCATATTTGACTACATTCTAGATAACGTCTGTGTTTATATTGGCTTATATTGCATTATTTTATACAAAACAAAAAAATCCTCTCAGAAAGTCTGCAGTGAAAATCTAGTTGCTCTTATTTCACATTCACAGTTATGCTGTGAGAATTACACTGAGATCACACCTTTAAGTTACTTATCACTCCTCCTAAATGTCTCTTCTTCTGTGCTCCCATTTTCTTTTCTCTCTAGACACATTTAATTCCAGGATCATGAACGTTTAGCCCATGTAGGTGCGTAACAAGGACACTGAGATTAAGTGTAATTAAAATCCTTCTAAATAAAATGATTACACATCCAATTAATAGAAACATACTTAAAATTCTCTTTTGATTTTAATCTGTTGAGAGTGGCAGCTGCTGCTTCCAGTGGTCTTTCTGTATGCATTGACTCTTCCAGTCAGCAGTATTACATCAATAAATGCATATGCCTGCCACGGTCTGATTAAATAACAAAACCAAATTATCTGAATTCTGTCCAAACCCTTCTGTGTCATCTGATTTCAATTTTATTTTCAGTGGTCTGAATTTCAGACAGCTACAGTCAAGGCAAGCGGCTTCTGAAATTATTCCACTACATTTAGGTAGGAAAAAGAATGTATTTTGTGTATTGCAGCAAATCCTCCAAGATCAACCTGCAGTTTGCTTTATAAGTTGTAAACACTTTTAGAGGGATCATTAAATAGTTAACAAAGACAGTACCCTGCAAGATGCAACCATTTGATTTTGCTCTGTTTGTCTACAAATTAGCATTATGAAGAGAGAAGCTCAGCTGGGATTGCCATTTACTATCAGAGAAACTATATAAATAGCTGAAATGATGTCACTTAAAGAAGGTGCAAATACTGCAAAATAACTTGCAATATGAAGAAGTATGTTACAAAATATATTACAATACAATAGTAAAACATAAGGAAGCCTGGGCATTGTTTTCAATATGAGGAATGGAAAGTACCTTTGCTATACAGCTTCCAGATTTTATCATGTCAGGTTTACTTGCTTTGGCTCCAGTTATCTCTTCTTGCAGAGATTTTCCATGGGAAAAAATGAAAAAAAAGAGGGAAAAGAAGTCAGGAGTTAGCACAATAAATTGTATATAAAATTAAAATAGAAATGATATTCTTGAACTGTTGGAAAAAAAAAACAAACAAGAGTTCCCAGAATGCCCTTCAGACTTCAAAAAGTGCTGGAATGTGGTCAGTGCGGTGTCTGCTTTTCGGGATTGATCATCTATTCACTTTGGAAACAAGGGATATTTTTTTTTAAGCTTTAAAGCACATGGAAACACCACCTGGAGAAAACATAATTTATGAGCAATCCTTATGAAACCTTTGAAGTCTTTGAGCTCCCTCTTGCATTTGGAAATATCAGTGCTATGCGTGTACTGCAACTGTGTGGCCAGCTGTCTGAGACACCCGATAGCATCATGCAGTGATTGACGTACTTCGTATGCATGGCCTGAAATAGGGGTGAAGGAAAGCAGTAGAGAAAAAACACAGTGACCCGAGGGATCAGGTTTTAAGCTTTTGGCTTAGGAGAACATGCTTATACACCAAAATTACATTATTTTATTCTACAGAAGTCAAAAGAATATAGGTAGCCTGTGTCACCTCCGGTACATCAATTAAAAGGTGTTCAATTAGTAATACTTCATTCTCTCATAGAACAGCAGAATAAGCTACAGGAGTTTGTTGTTCTATAAACGGTGCATGTAAGGAATTGCACAACGTAGCTCTACTGGAAAAGAAACTGTAACCCTACCACCTCACATTCTTCTCACGTTGGTGTAACTACGTGTTGATCAAGCCTTAACAGGGGCAGCAACTTGCCACAGCTGAGGCTGTCCCTGCAGATAACAGAGAAAGGCAAAACAGTCAGGAGGAAAAGACTGAAAATATAGTGAAAAACATCATAACTGACTACAGTCTTATTAGTTAATGCACAAAATAAGCCAATACTTTAAATGAAGGCAGATAATACTTGAGAAGCAGCCATGATTTTTTTCTAATTCAGGAAGTGCTAAGAGCTGATTGGGGAATTGGAGTGTATATTTTTTATGGTTTAGTGACTGAAAAAGATGATACAAATGAAACCACTGAGCAAGAAAGTTCATTTCAGGCTAATGCACAAACAGAGCTAAAAAAACTCAGGGCTCCAATTATCTTATAAAAGTAATCATGGCATTCATCTCTACCTGATGTAGCTTTTCTTGTAAACAGCCATACAGATGATGGGCTTAACCATCATTTTTCAATAGTGGAGATGTTGTTCACAAATCTAAACATAATTGTGAAAAATCAGTTTATTAAAGACATACTTTTCAAAACTTGTAAGACAAAGAATGTCATTAATTAAAAATATAGAACTGTCCATCCTGCCTCCGGAGCTCAAGATTTGCCACTCAAGGTGTGTTCATTTCATTCTTTTGTTCACTCAAGGATGCCTTTTACAAAGAGGGAGATGGAATAATGGATAGTAAAATGCAATTTTCTTTACAAAAAAAGTCTTTGTTAACTGCTAACCGCAACTAAATGAAATACAGAGTGCAAAACTCTTCTTTTTTGCTGATCTGAATAGCACAATACAAAGGCAGCCAGAGAGAAGGACAGGGCAGGATCTGTCCTCATTACTGCCAGTCACCCCTGTGTATGTCCCAGCTCACTGTTGCAGCACAAACTGCACAAACCTTTTTCCCCACTGACTACATTGTGGCCACATCAACTTCTAAATGTACTTAAAGTAGCCCATTTACACTACTGGAAATGTTTGGTTGTCATGGAAGGGAATTTGATTCAAAGGCCACATCCAGTCCTCTAAACATGTCCTCCCAGGCAGCCTCCCAGCCCAGGAGTGCAGAGTGACACAGACCAAACAGCAGTAGTAGCTGTGCTCATGTGCACAGCACTGATTTCAAGTCTCCCCTGATGCCCTTGCAATCCTAAAACATCACTTCCCCGCCCCCCTCCCCCCCCCCCCCCCCGTCTTTTTCCATCCAAAGTGCCAAAACCAAATGTGAGGACAGTGTTATTGTAACATGATGCTGAGGGCATGTGCTGCACACCATGAGGGCACGTAGGGGTTGAGATGATGTTGGGACAGCGATGGAACCAAATTTAGTGCGATCTCAGCTCTACTGCCATCTGGAACAGTAGCTGAGGTAAAGCCTCCAGACACACGCAGGTTTTCTCCTACATGGACTTTGATCCATAGGAGACGCTGGGGTCAAAGAAATGCTCACGCAGTATACACAATTGGGCACGGGTGTAGGAATGAACCAGAAAACTAAGGCAGATGAATTTTATTGTAGCCCTTTTTTTCCACAGGAAATATTGGTATCTTCCTACCCTGTCATGTCGCAGAAGTCATCAAACTAATGGAAACTGAAGCTGGAAAAATTCAAACCAAAGTGAGATAAACATTGTAACGGCAGAATTAATTACTCATGGGAAATGATGTATTCGTTATAACTGCATCTGGTTCGACATTATAGAGCTCCTTCTAATAGCGATGCAGTGGAGTAATGAGCACAGTGTAACAGTTTGTGACAGAACATAGATAAACACATCACAGAAGCAGTCCTGAAAACCAATTATTTAACTGCATAGGTTTGTATCTGTCTTCTATAAAATAATATTAGCTATATATGACACAAATGATAAGTTATGAATGCCTCCACAGTTTGCGAGAAGTCTAGCAAAAAAGGACACGCTTTAGTCTGTTATTCTTTGAAAATTCCCTCTGCTGATATACTAATCATATTATTGCTTATCCACAGGGATGTGGGAGGGGATAACCCAACACAATGAGAGAAACAAGAACCTGTGAGTATACAAAGCAAGGCACAGACATCATTCTCATGAACCTCAGTTCACATTCAGTGTAACCGCTCAGTTGTACTGGCAAACAGCTTAAATCACAATGACAATGAAACTGAAAAATCCCATTGGTTGTAATGTAACTATCCTGCACTTCCTTATTTTTTTCCAGCAGCTCGAATATATTCAGACTAAGAGGCAAAAATGTGTTACAGTTTATAGCTGCTGAGCTGAAGTAAAGCTGCAGATTACTTTTTTTAATAAACAACACTTCTTTCCAGCCTCCAAACAAGCTTTCAACTAGGTGGGGTTAGCAGAGGTCACACAAGATAAGAATTTTGTAGTATCTTTCAAATACCAAATCCCTTTCCAGAGCAACTCAAATCCTGTGAGACCTCCTCATACGTCTTCTAGTGCCCACTTGAGCAGCAGTAGCCCCTTACCAAGGGTTAAATGCAACAAGCTGTCCCCTGTTCCCAAGATCTTCCATACAGTACTGCAGGATAAAAGCAAAAGCTCAGAAAAGAAATATTTTGGAAGCAAACCATTTCTCTGTCTAAGTAAAATGCTTGCACATGATCCTGCCCCTCTACTCTGCTCTCGTGAGACCTCACCTGGAGTATTGTGTGCAGTTCTGGTGTCCTCAACATAAAAAGGACATGGAACTGTTGGAACAAGTCCAGAGAAGGGCCACAAGGATGATCAGGGGACTGGAGCACCTCCTGTATGAAGACAGGCTGAGAAAGTTGGGGCTGTTCAGGCTGGAGAAGAGAAGGCTGCGTGGAGACCTCATAGCAGCCTTCCAGTATCTGAAGGGGGCCTATAGGGATGCTGGGGAGGGACTCTTCATTAGGGACTGTAGTGACAGGACAAGGGGTAACGGGTTAAAACTTAAACAGGGGAAGTTTAGATTGGATATAAGGAAGAAGTTCTTTACTGTTAGGGTGGTGAGGCACTGGAATGGGTTGCCCAGGGAGGTTGTGAATGCTCCATCCCTGGTGGTGTTCAAGGCCAGGTTGGACAGAGCCTTGGGTGACATGGTTTAGTGTGAGGTGTCCCTGCCCATGGCAGGGGGGTTGGAACTTTATGATCTGAAGGTCCTTTCCAAACCAAACCATTCTGTGATTCTATGATTCTAAGCCTACATGTGTTCAAACCCGATTTTCCACAAAATTACCTTTCTTTCCAGTAACATTCAGTGATGAGCACTCCTGTGAATATATATACATATATGTACACATATGTATACACTCAGAACTTGTCTACACAAGGGCACCCACACCCCTGCTTCTGCCCAAGGATCTGCACCAAGTGCCACATTGTTCAGCCAGCACATTTACTTCAAGCAGCTCCTTCAAGATGTCCCACAATAGCTCGCTTTCTATGAATGAAGATAGGCAGAGGCAGCCCACTCACCTTCCAATTCTGTTTTTTTCTGCTGCAGCTGTAGCTGGATTTTCTGATACCTGGATGGTCTTTGTCTTACAAACAATGGGTCACCAACTGAGAAGCTGCAGACACAAAACTAGGTATGGCGGGTAATTACTAGACATGGTGAAAGTCTTACTACGATAGGAGCCATTTTTATCTGCACATGAGAAACCACAGCTGGATCACTGGTTTCTTGAATAATGAGAATTCAGCCCTCTGTGCATTATTTTCCAGAAACAACAGATTTATGAGCTGAAGTCCCATGTTAAAAAACCCAAAACCAACAACCCTATACCCTTAAAGCTACTTCACTGTGTATTGTCAGGCCCCAAGTGCACCAACACACACTACAATCTCTCCCCTTCTCCCCACACCCCAGGGCTTGGCTGTCACTCTTCAAAGTCAGCTTTGATATGGTAGTTGTGTAAATTTGAATCAGACCCCTCTGAGAAATGTTGTGTGAGAAAGAACTGCAAGACACGTTATCTGGGGCCTCTGCCCCTTGGCTCACAAGCTGCATTTGAGCTCAGGCCCTTGCTATCAGTCCTCGCCTGAGCTGCGCTGTAGATATGGCTGCGCCTGGCTATATCCTTTGCTGATTTGACTTCACAGCTTGGCCTTGGATCTCTGTCTTTGCTATGTTGTTTTCATACTGTTGTCATTCACAAGCAGTGGAATTAGTGAATCCTGGGCTACTATGGATTCACATATACTACAATTACTCTCCTCCACCCCTTACATCCTCCAGTCACAAAACACCAGGGCTGCCCTCAATG